GCTGACTTACTGCCGATACCCAGACACGATGTACTCGTTGTCCTTCTGCCATTCGGGGAGATCTAGGTAGTTGATTGTTCTTGAATTCAGGGGGATTGTGACTGGAGCTGAGGCTGAAGGTTTCACATGCGTGGTTCTCTTTCGAATGGATTCTGACATGGTGGTTGGTTGTTGAGTTGTGGCGCGGTTTGAAAATTGACATGTGTTTTCCGAGTTGCCGGAATGCTGTCGTAACGGTCGTCCCGGGAGCCGGTGGGAGCAAACGATGATGTTTAAAACAGTAGATGGCGCCAGCATGGTGGCGTCTTGCCTGTGGTGGCTCCGGGTACTCCCGGAAGTCATTTTCAAAATCTAAAATCTTCTCACATGCGCAGGCAGCCAACCAGAAATAATAAACTTCTTGCCATCATAGACTCACAGTCAATCAATGTGATCAACTACTGTCATTGTGCTCACTGCTGGGCCGGCCGAGGTAAAACTTGCTTGTACATGTCTTCCAGCTTGGCCCCTTCACCATCAGCGTCCTCCACCTTATATCCACAAGGCCTAAGGACAGAGGGATGAGCTACCGACAGCTCCACTGCCAGCAAGATGAATTAGTCCACAAATAACTTTTCGGGACTTCCTGGCGTACTGCTCGAAATCCGGAGTTTACTGGCTAGCGGCAATGAAATGCTCTCGTTCTGTTCTTCGTCCAGCCATGCTGTATGGCGAATAATTCCGGGTTAGGTTTTATGACAATTCGGAGCCTGGACAAAATCTGGCGACACGGCTCGGAATCACATTGTGAGGTGTAGTCTCCAAGGGGCTGTCGGGATTTGAAAAATTGATAGGGGGTCGAAAAGATTTTTAAGGTCCTCGCCCAGACTCCCTCCCCCCTCCCCCCCTATATAGGGAAGGAATTTCCTACGGGTAGCGCCGGACCGTCGCTCCGGGTCATGTGCACAGGCATCGCCACCCGATGGCCGCCTCCCGCCCGAATAGGTCAAGAAATATATTCTGCGCGCATGCCTTTGCATTAATCTCTATGATGTACCAAACATTGCATAATTCAAATCCGGAAAAAAATTTTGGGTGCAGAAAACTTTTTTTCTTCAGAGCTCAGATTACCTCTATACTACATCAGTGTATATTATATGTGTCCAGTATACAATTCTGAGAGGAATAGGGCTTCAGTACCGTGCTATAGCATCTAAATACCTGCGGCATCAAATTTGATGGTTGTCGGGAACTTCCGGTATCAGCAATGCTGGGCGGTTTGGACCCATATTTCGCATAGAGGAACCTTGAATTGTTGGAAACTAAGCCTCTAAAAGTACTTGGAAACTTTTGGTTGTAGGACAAGAACAAAGAAATTATGTTAAGTCAAAAGTTTTAGTTCCTAAATTGATCCCATGAATCTACCATAAAAAAAATTGGAGTCTCACCAAGTTCCAACTCAGGCTCATGGTCAACTATGCAGTTTTGTCCAGGAAGAGAGATTCTGTAGCACCTCACTCACAGGCAGACAAGAATCCTTCAGCCGAAAGATCCCGACAGCCATTGAATTTGATGCTGCATGTATTTAGATGCTATAACATGGTACTGAAGTCCTATTCCTCTCAGAATTGGTATACTAGACACATATGGGACACACTGATGTAGTATAGAGGTAATCTGAGCTGTGAAGATTTTTTTTCTGTGCCCAAAGTTTTTTTTCAGATTTGAATTATGCAGCATTTGGTACATCATAAATCTCAGGCATAGGACATGGTATACTTAATATACACTAAGTCAAATATGTGTTTTGGACATGTTCTGGTGTCCTTTTAAGGACCTCCTAATTATAAAAAATAGACAGGATGCGCACGAGCCGCGTGCGGCTTTTGGCACTTGTGCAAAGCCGCGCGAGATTTTCTCCATTGCCTGCAAGTAAAATACCATTTTTGTATATCCACACTCCCATTCTGTCCCGAGACTTTGTGCATACTCAGTATTGTTGGATTGGGTCATGAGGGCGAGCCTGAGCAAGCCATTCTTTGATCACATCACTGACACAGTGCTCTCGCGGCTTTATCTTGCCTGTTCCCACTCCACTATTAATGCTCCACTCTGTATTCAAAAAATATCCCAGGGATACAATGTCTGTAAGTTCCTTCTATTCTATTGAAATATGTAGTCTCCAGGCCATGATTATATTTTTTTTGGCGCGGCTTTGCACAATGACCAAAAGCCGCATGAAGCCGCATGCGGCCCATGCGGCTTTTGCGCATCCTCTCTAATATTTCTGCCCAGGCTACAATGGTAGTGGGAGTTCCTAGACACCCCGGGAACTCAATGGGTGACTTTCCATACAATTAGAATATTCCCGAGGCATATTTGAGGGTGCCAGTGATGCCATCCATTAATAGAATATTGAAGTTGTGCAGCGGTGGCATGAATTCCTGTAAGAAAGAATATTTTACTCAATTTGGTTCTTGCCCTCGAAAAAGGATCAGAATGAACTCCGATGGGCAATGGGAGGCCACCGCATTTTTCCTGAAAGGAATCAGCTGCTTGACAGCTTGGGAAGCAAACAGAATGTCTATACGCACTGCCAAACTAGTTTATTCCGTCTAATAAATTCTGTAGGAGGCGTCACTACCCCCCCTCTAGATTTTCTTAAATTTTGAACAAACCTTGGAAAGATACCATCCAAGAGTCTGGACCGCTATAATGGAACCACCATGTTGAAAAACTTCCTGGGCAGTGACAGAGAGCAAAGACTCCCGTTGCAGAGACCCAATAGGGAAGGGATGGACATAGCAACAACACTGAGAAGCAAAGCCAGAGGCGGTCCAGAACCGTGCCAGACACCCATATAGGGGATGGCAACTCTGAGTGATGAATTCTCAGCGAGTCTGAGGCACCACCCGCGTTCCTTTTCCTCCTCTGGGGTAGCGGATATCTTGATGTACGTCCTCGTCCTTTCACAGCGCGAGCCGGGGAGAGCGGAGAATCCCGGATGACATTCGGATGTCTCGGACCACCATACACGCTCCTGTACCTCACTTACTCCTGTACTTCGCGAACTTCTGCCTCCCTCCTCACACGGATGATGTGCATCAACAAGCACCCTGTATTACAGGCGGAGCAGGCTGACAACAGTCTGATCATGTCATGTCCACTTCCTTTATCACTTTCCAGATGACGGTTAATAACCTTGACAAGTAGGGCGCGAACAATTGAAGTGGATGATTTTCGGCCTGTTGCCAGCGGACATCTGCATGCTGTGGTGAGATGGCTGTCAAACTTGTCTTCAAATTCAAATACATGGGTGTGTGGTTCACGTCAACTCATAGAAACATCTTCACAAGACATTACACTATCAAAGCATCCAAAGCTCGGGCTACGAGCAATACTTATCTTTCTGAGGTGTCTCCTGCTGTTGAGTGACAATAATCTTGCATCGAACACATGTGTTATGGTGCACGCTATCGCTTGCCGGTGCTGCGTCATTGGAGACTATGCAGGTTTTGTTGAGATTTGGTGGAGGACGAAGCGCACGCGCTTTTTGGATGTATTGCAGAACTGTGTTTGGTTGAGACCCGTGAGAACTGTGGTGGTTGACCCCGGAGTGCGACGGCCATATGGCACAATGTTGGGCTACAACTTTCTGCTTGTGGTGGCATCGCACAAGGCGGTCGTGGTATTTGCCAAATTTGTCTTTCAAGAAACTCCCACTTTCATCCCAGTGGCCTTCAAAGTCACCATATAGTCAGCTATGTTCTGTCCCGTCTTCTATACCCTTTTCGTGAGAGGTTTATTGCTTCGAAAGAGGTGAATTTATTTTCACAGCAATTACGGTGGTTGACTACTGTAGCATACAATTATGGACGTGTTGTATGTCGGTACAGTGTCTGCTTGTTCCTGATCGGGACCTCTGCAGTTATACATCCTTCCTTCCTTCCTTACTTGTCCCCTTTTGCGCCTCCGAAGTGATGGTCCCGACAGCTGTTTCGGCAAAGCTTGAAAATATTCCTCAGCATTTATCTAATCTATGGAAAGCCACCCAATACATGTTCTACAGAGGCTTCAATGGGTCTAAACATGTTTTAAATATGGTTTTAGCTTAGTTTAAAATCAAGATTTTTAAGCCCTTGGTTGGGACCCCCCCTACCCCCTATCTGAAATTTGAATCCCGACAGCCCCTTGGTAGTCTCAGTGACTTCTTCAGCTGACAATGTACATATGAGGTGCTCCATCTGCACAATGAGGAGTATGGTCCAAAATCTCGAATAATGATGGAGCCCACTCACAAACACAGATCTGGTTGCTGTTCTTACAGAAGAATGGCCAATTCTTGCTTCAAATTTTTTTCACCTCGGTGCTAATTTGTAATGTCAATCCACATATTTCACTGAAGGAAACAGCCCTCTTGACCGTTCGACCTGATTCATGGCTGTATCTAATATTCTTCTGCGCTCAGTGTGCTCTCCCACTATGATGTTTTCTCCAAGGGTCCGATCTGTTTTCTACTGCAGCCCACCTGGATTCCTTCATATACGATTCATGGATCATTCACCTTTTTTCTGGCTTCCAGTGCATCACACCGTGGCGGAGGAGTCAATGAGTCTGAGTTCCCATGGCCACACCAGGTAGACAATATGACTGAAACCTCGTGGTTAATTGACGCAATTCCTCGCTATTGATCATAACTGGCCGCCAACAAAAAATTCCCCGAATGTGTCGTCTCGACAGCCCCTGCAGGCACGCATGCGAACTGACTGCAAAAAAAGTATAGCATAAAAGAAGAAGAAACCCAAGCCTGCAATCAACTGCTCTGAGAAAAATGTTATCTGGTGATTCTTCAGGAGCATCTCATCAAAATGAATAAAAAATGATTCCCACTAGCCGACTTGAACGACTGACCTTGCCATGATCTAGGGATAAGGCGGATTCACGGCTATGGAAGAAGGAACAAGTTTCTGCGTGAAAGTAAAAAATTAAAACGGGACGAACTCGAGGCCGAAACAAAAACATGCCCACTAGCTGATTCGAACAACTGATCTTGTCATATCGCAGGCGCAATTGACATTACGAAACGCGGGATGCAGCCTACGTAATTGTTGACGCTACGAGTGACACGCCTTACCACTGGGCCAAGCGGGCTTATGGGAAGGCATAGTGCGGATGGCACCAGATAGAGCCTTGAAAACTGACCAATGAACCAAAAAAATTGAAAGAAAACAAATCAAAAATGAGCGAAAATGGTGAGGAACAACCTTTCAGAAGACTGTTCGCTCAGGAAAGGGGCGCGCTCTTTTTGTCAGTGGGACCCTCTACTAACAAGCTAAGCGGGAATGCGTGGAATGCTCGAGATTCAGGAAGTTCGAGAAATTGTTTTTTTTCGGTTTAGAATTGCCCCCAGTCCGAATTTCTCATTTATTTCTTTCGCCTTTCCCTCAGAAGTTCCTTGGAATAAAATACGGCCTAGTAGTTACAAGGATACAAAAGAACTACCGAATACGGATAGAGGAAGGCGTTGAGAAAGTGAAACTGACCCATCAAAAGTAAAGTTCAACATTTTGAATGACTTTGGCCGCAGATGTCACCCAACACTTTCTAAAAAAATCGAAGAGCTGGATAAACATCGTATAACACTTTCAGCTTCTTCGCAATATTTCTCTCGGACGTGGCTGTCGTCCGTTGGAGGGGAGGTTGGGGCGAGCCTAATCGGGATGAATTCGAGCTCCGCTGTTGTAACCTGTTTGCAACCTCCTTTAACCATCAAATTCCAACTTGACCTCCATAGCACAAGAATCACATCTGAGCCGAAGGTTTCGAGGCGGTGTAAAGTGGTCTCTGTGTACGGGACGCCCTTTAATTTTTTTCGGGAACATTTGGTAAGGCCGAATCGAGACCATTACTATTCACAAACGCAGGCAACTGCTCGACTCGGATGGTCCACTCAACAACCTTGACAAACACGCCCAGCCCCGGAAGCGAAGCCTCTGCGGAATTTTAGAACATAGTAATCACCGGGCTTTAGGAGACCTCGGAGACCGCGAGCTCAAATTAAGCATGAGGGAAGGAAAGCACGGACGAGCTGGTCATGACAATAGACTACCGGTAGGAAACGGAGGACTGAAGCAACTAGGGGCAGCGAGCAGTGCGAAGCAGTGCCGAGGCGTGTGGTGTATACATTTCCGCTGCTGCATGAGATTTGAATGGCGAGTGCACAAAGTTTGGCAGGGCGTGAGGTGCACGAGGTTTGAGAATTTGGGTGATTATCGAGCGATTATGCACCTCTCCGAGAGTAACCCTTCACCGCCGTTGTGTGGAGGAGCTTCCGTCGATTCTAGGATTTAATCAGGAACACCGAGAAAGTGTCGACAGCCTTGGAATGTATAGCAATACGAGTAATGCAACATGCGGCACGGGAAGGCCCGCATTCCAATTACACCATTCACGGGAGCGCATCCGCCCGCGGTCGTGTCGCGGCTCCGCGAGGGTATGGTGCGCACACGAATGGTCAAGTAGATCAGAGAAATTAATGAAAGCCAAGCTGTTTTAGCTAGATTAATCGACAATGCCGGACCCAGAGGACAACAAAAGCACGGATAACGCCGGTCGCTGAAGACTGCGGAGCGCGATGCACCTCCGGCTCCGCGAGACGCAAGAAAGCCCACAGAAATAGACATATGCACGTCAGGGACGGAAAGTTCTAAGAGTTTAAAAACAGGCTTTAATGGAAGCTGCACTTGAAGCCAAAGGTAGATGACAGAGATAAACTATTGTAGTCAATTTGCGGAGTAGCATCTCGGAGCCATTGAGAAAATCTATGGTATATCCACGGTAAGATAAACCTTCAAGGGATCGCAAAAAAGTTTGTGAGAGTGTAAACAGGGTCGAAAGGTTGACAGAGTTCTTGAAAGAGTCAGAGAAAAGACAGTCATGTGTCATAGAAGATGTAAGATGGCGAGGGGACGTCAAACGAGTTCAATGAAGAGTCGCAATTGAGATTTGAGGTAGAGCTTGTGCTTGAAGTCCCGCGGGCTCGGTAATATAATAGAAATGGCCAAAACGGACCCGTATTTTCTCGGGGAAAAATGGCGGAATCGAGGAGTCGCGTAGTGGTCGCAAAACTGCAAGGAAATTATTTTTTTGCACCATCGGCAGAACGCGGAAGCGTCAAAAGAGTGTGACCCGGTGTTACTGCGTCACAGTGGCTATAAAGGAGCCATGTGACTCGCCAACGTTTTCTCCTAACCCACACCGCAGACTCAAAGCCGCGATGCTAGTTCCGCACAGGATCTTAAAAATCCGTTTTCACTAGCGGGCTAAGGTCTGAGTATTCCAGTCCCCCTCGAATGGCCCCAGCGGGGTCCGGCTTTAATGGTCGAGCGGCGTATCAGAAAACCATCGATTCTTTTATCGTCTCGAAGATCTTCTTTCGAAGGGAGAGCATGAAGAATGGATTTGGAAGTCGTCGCGGGGATTGGGCGGTGTCTTCGCTTTGTTCCTCCATGTTTTTCTATCGGCGCCCAAGGTGTTCTCTTCGGAGAACGCAGGGAGGGTTTTGGCACACAAGTGTTCGGACTCTCTCCATCGTTTCACGATCTTGTGCAACGCCGCGTACAAGTCGCCTCGCCATGGAGCGCCGGAAGTGGGCAGCACCCCTGTCTTTATGTAGCACCCTGGTCATTTTCGCCTCACGCCTCGCATGGCACGTACACGACAGTGGGCATGGTCAGCTGAACCCTCGACGTGGTCACACCTCCCTTCGATGTCTGTACACTTGGTCAGGGATCACAAAGAAAACCGCAACGGACAGGTCTTAGAGGTGCTCGGCACGGTGTTCGGCGTACGAGGAGATGCATGGAGCTTGGGGCATGGCGAATTCACCGTCCTTTAGTGCACTTCGCGGCACACGTCTATGATCCGTCTCGCGAACGGTGAATATTCGTGCAACTCGATTCAGACTACTCTTTGTCTGCGGTGTGCAACCAATTTTTTCCTTCCTTCACTCTCTTCGGAGATGTAATTTCTCTCGTGCGTTTCCAACCCTGTACGTCTTCGTTCCAAACCATTTTCCATTCAAACTGAAGTCGATTCACAGATCTTGCTATGCGGAAGTACGTAATTGTCTGTAGGACTTTTCGGATTAGAACGCTATATACGAAAACGCACATGTTTGAATCATCATGCCGTCTTTTGAAAGCTCTCATTTCATCTCCGTTGAGGAACAGCTGAAGAAAATTCTTTGCTCATTGTCGTTGGCAGCGGGTCGTACGACCCGTCGTCAATAGGGTCAATACAATGTGAATGTGCTCGAGTGGCTCGAGTGGCACCGTTGATTGAATGATTGAATGTTTCTTGGTCACAGTTCTCCGTCCACAGTGCCCGAAGCCCCATCCAATATTCCCGGTGCACATTCGGCTGTACAATATGATACAAATGCTTTTAGTACAAAATTCTACGAGATGAACACTTTCCGGAGGTCCGAGAATCTGCAAGTGACCTTGCTCCTCGGACAAGTCACCATCCCATCGTGTTTCAAGGACATCTCCTCCATGGCCTGCATTCACAATAATCGTGAGCCGCAGAAACCACAATACACTCTTGGACACGCACCTCCCGCGAATAAACATACCCATTTTCAAACGCCAGCGGCACATTATCCCCGTCCATAATCTTGCCCGTAATGTAGCACACGATCGTCGAGTTTGCGTGGTGGCTGAACGGCACCTCCTCCGCGAGCTTCCCCAGCCCTTGAGGCGCGCCCGCGCCCGACTCGCCGTAATCGCACACGGGGCAGTCGACGTTCTTGGTCGCGTGCGTGTAGCATGCCGGGAGCTTGAGGCTCGCGAGGCCCGCATAGAGGCTCAAGTGCAGCAGGGGCTCGGTCGGGAGCGTGTTAAGGGAGTATATTGCGAGGCGGAACGCGTGCGTGAGGTTCGGCCAGCGGGCTGGGTCCAAGAGGCGCTATGCGGCAATCGTTTCAGAACGAGCGTACACTATACTTGGGGGAGCGTGCGGGTACCTTGTATCGCACGGACGTCGTATCGGGGCGAACGGCAAGCAACGTGATAGCCTGCTGGATCTGGTCGAGGTGGGTTTCGGCCCACGAGATGAGGTGCTTCTTCGAGTAGTCAATGGCTTCTTGCCGTCGACCAGCCCGGGCGAGTTCAATGTATTCTTGCAGTCGGAGGTCGAATTCCAGGGTGCTCTGACAAACAGAAGTGGATGTGCGATGAGCATTGAGAGCGAGTCGGGGACCGGGGTGTGAACGCAATGTTACCTTCATCTTCCGAAGCGCAGTCTTGTTTTCGCTGCACCATGCCAGGGCTTCCGTGCAGCTGTGTCGCGAGAGCGCACTCTCTATCCGTTTGATGTCGCTGAAGAGATCAATGTCGACCAAGGTCTAGTAAGCGGGGTCAAAGCTTTCCTCGCGATATCGGAAAAGCAAGGAACAGACCTCAATGTGTTTCTCCTTCGCAATCATCCTCGCCGTCTTCTCCTTTCCACTTCTCAGTGCCCAGTCCACTAGCCACCGGTCCAGCCTTGTATCCGCCCACCGGCCAAACTCGGGATCACTCGCCGTCGGGATCGTCTCGACTGTGGCGAGGTGCTGCAGACGCTCGCGGATGACGTCCTGAGTGGGATTACCGGCGGTTTCGTGCAGGTCCGAGAGCTATATTTCATACCAAATTAGCCTAGGAGCTTGCGACAAACGACGTGGATCAATCGACCTTCCGCTTGAGATTCTCCACGGTGCTGATCATCGCGTCGATGGACTGAATAGCCGCGTCGGAGCTGACACCGGTGGGAGAGGAAGAGGATTCCTTCACAAGGTCGGTTGCGGTCGACTGCACGGCTTTGAGGTCGCGCTCGACGTGTCGCTGCGTCGTGCGGAAGACTTTGCGGTAGTTTTCGAAGGGACCTAGTCTTCAATGTTGGAGGGGAGGCAAGAGAGAGGGTTGCATAGACGTACCCGAGCAAAGGGCTGCTCAAAGAGGAGGATCCCGTCGACATTGAGTTTCTTGGCCATGAAAGCGGGGAACAAGGAGCGGATGTCGGGCCGGAATGTGGGAGAACCCGAAAAGGCAGCTTAGGGGTGGATGGAAGGGAGCGCGGGAGCCCTCTACTGCAAAGAACTACAATGTATA